CTATGGCGGTCTCCTCCTGATCTTCGTCGATCATCGTACCAATCATCACGATTGCCACCTCTTCCAAATCCTGGATTCTCCTCCATTCTTCGATCGTCTTTGATGAAAGTAATTTGCAAATATAAATGTGTGAGATCAACATACTGGCGCCAGAAAATCAGAATTTTGTGACATGAGAGCCAATCTGACCATAAGAGGAATCACTTCTGCGGGGCGGTGGCCCATAGTACTCTTCTGTAGCATATCCTCGCCTCGAACGATCATTTCGTGAGCCTAAACCATCGCCTTTTCTCCTGTGCGCGCTACTGTTGCTTCTAGGCCTTGGATCATGCTTGTCGTCGCGTGGAAAACTCTCGTGGTGTGGCCGCGAGGACCTCTCGTCGTCTCCCATGGTTCTGGCTGGTGCAATAAGATGAATTCAAACCAGAACTCTACAGTAGAGTTCTACCGTGCTTCGTGAGGTTTGTTTTTGAATACCTGCTCGACTCTACCGGTAGCGGTAGGCGGTACCTGGTAACACCGCACACACACCGCCGGTACACATGTTTTCAAGATTGGAAATTCGAAAAAGGACAGAAAGGCAGACAGTCATAGGTGATTGATTGATTGATTCGTTCGACCAACGTTTTTTTAATTTTATTTTATGTGCAAAATGATTGTGACGCATAACACATTCATTCTCTCAAACAAGGCGTTTTGTTCTCACATCGTAGGAGCTAGTCCTGTAGATGCTGAGAGGATCATTCAAAAGAGCCATCTCATTGTCATTCGAGTCATCTGTTGTGTATTTGAGTTGATGCTCTTCTGCAACCTTTTCCCAGTTAATACAGGCAAATGTCACCAGTAAACTTAGGTCCATTCCTGCGTACGGAAGGTTGATGCATGTCCATGCAGCTTCCAAGCCCCCCTCACGGATTATTGTGAAATAGTACAAATTTGGCAAACCAAAGACCCAAAGCCAAACCAAGTTGATCGATGCTAACGTCCATTGCATTCCAAGCCCGGTGGCTATTCCACAAAGTGCTCCAAACAGCGAACACAGCTGACTGAAGGTGCACATCTTCCACCACATTTTTTCGGCAGTCACCAAAACCTCGGGGTCATTTGTGAACAATTGGATGATTGGCCTAGCGTGCCGGTAGACGATAGTGTTTATCACAGCACCGGCTAATACGATCAGGACTGTTGCGCTCAAAATCAATTTCTTTGTCATCTTGACACTGTGAGTCATGGTGATGCCCATTCGAATGGATAAGGCAGTTCCTGCACTCAGTGGCGGCAACCACAATAGCATCAGTACTTGGCTTGGGATTGTGTGGACGGACAAAGGTATAGTACCTAATAATCCAATCACTAGTGCAGCACACTCCCAGAAGACCCACTCGCACTGGGCGAGTATGCCACCGATTCCTAATCCCGCAAAATCCATCATAGGTTTGTGTGCAAGGATGGCTTGGCGCCAAGATGACATTCCAGGCCACGTGCGGTGATCATGTGGCTGTTTCACAGCAATGTACGCCAACAACGAAATCGCTTGAATGGCCTGAAAGTTGACATATGCCCAAGCGGATCCCAGAAAGCCATACCGTTCCGATAGAAACTCCAAGCCGAGTGGCAGAATAATTCCATAGCTTGCCAATGACACAACAATCATTGGTCTCATAATGTTCTGAGCGGACAGAAACTTCCAAATGACGTTGTAGACCACACAAAATGGAAAAGACCATACAAATATGCGATACCAGGCCACAGCAAGTTCCACAGCATCCCTGTCTTGCCCCAAAGCCAGCAACACATTATCGAGATAGTTGACCAAGAAAATGTTGATTGGAAGTAAAATGGCAGTGGCACAAGCCAAACCACGAATGGCAATCAGTCCGACTTCTTTGAAATTTCCATTTCCAAAAGCCTGTGGTCCCAAGGTATCGGATGCACTGAATAGTCCAGCTAGTAGACTAAAGGTGCACAGATTCCCCGTCAAGTTGGCCAACGCAAAACCACTCAGATAAACAGTGTCGAATTTGCGTCCTATGAAACTGGCACACAACATGGGACTGGCAATCATTCCCAAGTTCACTAGTATCGTTGGTATTGCTAGTTCTATAAATGTCCATAGCTCTGCTAAGACGGACGATCTTGGTGCTAGAAATTCTTCCTCAGATTGAAACATGTTGATATGGCGAAATGACATTTTATGAATACGATACCGTTGATGAGGGATTTTTGAATTTGTCTGATCAGCCGATCTCCGTGTCTCCTTCCTCCTTCAAACTGTTCGATCAATCGGATTAACTCGATTGCCCTGATTTCAATTTCAACTCTTGAAGTAGGACTGTGGGAGCGCCATTGTCTTTGAGTTCCTTTGCAGTCATTCTCAAGGCAGAAAATCCTGTCACCCTGTTGGAAAGGGCGTAAGATGATTGGTTTGAGGTTTACACAGATGCAGACAATTCAACTAAATGAACCACCAGGCAGCAGATGTGAGTTCGGAGAGTTTCGCGAAGCATGACACATAGTAAAAAGTACAAACCGAGTCATCGGTAGCAAAGTCTGTCAATATCGCACAGCGCTGGTATCAAGCTGTTCCTAACGCGAGGGTCGGTATAAAGGACAGAATGAATGAATCTGCTTAAGAATCCAAACTTCCGAACATGGTCTTGTCCTCTTCGGATGGATTATCAACTTCTGACCAGTCCTCCGGAATGGCCTTTTCGATTTCTCCAAGAATTGTCAAGCCGATTCCCGTCTTCTTATCTGTTGTCATTCCAGATGCTGGGTTAGTTCTATATTGCTGAGAGGATCAGCCAATAGAGTCACATTTTCATTCGAATCATCTGTTGTGTTTTTAAGTTGTTGCTCGTCTGCAACCTTTTCCCAGTTCACACAGGCAAATGTCACTAGTAAACTTAGGTCCATTCCTGCATACGGAAGGTTGATGCATGTCCATGCAGCTTCCAAGCCCCCTTCACGAATAATTGTGAAATAGTACAATGTCGGCAAACCAACGACCCAAAGCCAAACCAAGTTGATCGATGCTAACGTCCATTGCATTCCAAGCCCGGTGGCTATTCCACAAAGTGCTCCAAACAGTGAACACACTTGACTGAAGGTGCACATCTTCCACCACATTTTTTCGGCAGTCGCCAAAACCTCAACGTCATTCGTAAACGATTGAATAATCGGCTTTGCTTGCAGGTAGACGAAAATATTTACCACAGCCCCGGCTAATACGATCAGGACTGTTGCGTTAACAATAAGTTTCTTTGTCATCCTGACACTGTGAGTCATAGTGATTCCCATTCTAATGGATAAGGCAGTTCCTGCACTCAGTGGCGGCAACCACAAGAACATCAGTACTTGGCTTGGGATCGTATGGGCGGACAAAGGAATAGTACCCAATAGTCCAATGACCAGAGAAGCACACTCCCAGAAGACCCACTCACACTGTGCAAGCATGCCACCAATTCCTAGCTTCATAAATTGCCACATTGGTTTATGCGCAAGGATGGCTTGGCGCCAAGTTGACATTCCAGGCCACGTGCGGTGATCATGTGGCTGTTTCACAGCAATGTACGCCAACAACGAAATCGCTTGAATGGCCTGAAAGTTG